TGTATTATTATATTTAGAGTATTCAAAGCCAAGTACTATACATCTATAGTTAAAATAAAGTATGCACTAGCACAAACTCGCGGCTAGCTCATAAATGACAATAAAGACATAGAAAATGTATAAAGACAAATAAATTGAATGCAAACATAAGAACATAATTAGAGAAGTAATTAATTTTTGTGATATTTATGAATCTCTATGTACCATTCATAACATTTTTATTGTTAACAATTATATATATACCTATTGTTATTTCGCTGATCTGTTATATTTGCAGCCAAGGTTTGTATATTAGTTGTATATTATAAGTGGCGCCTTTGCCGCGTCACTGCGAGTGAAATTGTGCATCTATTCACTTCGATAAAGTAAAAAACGTCTGATTTGTTTGATTGCACGAACCGCCGCGCACGTTGCTCAAAGTTAATCTCGAATTTGGACAATATTTTTGTGTTTGTGCTTATATCATTGTGGTCTGTGCGACAGCCGTTTAGAGGTGGTCTCCAGGAGTACGAGCACAATATATTGCAGGTAAGAAGCTTTGGATGTTTTAATCAGTCAGCGAATTAACATCATATTTCTGAACCAGCGACTGCCCCCTACCGCATGGTGTTGAAACCTTATTTTCTATATTTTTCCGAAATTTCACACCACTATGGAAATTCAGTCATTAAATATATATGTCATTATTACAATTTATCCCCACGATATTGTTAGAGGACTAGAGGTATAAAATAAAAACATCAGTAGTATAAGGAAAACTCGAAATCAAATCCCATATGCCATACCGGAGTGGTGAATAATTTACATGCTCTTACGGATAGGAGAAAATTTTAATGGCAAGTTATTATGTAAGATTTATAATAATTTTTATGATATATTTTAAAATATATCTATTTGCACAGGCTTCATTTTTATATTGAAATAAAACATAGTATACATCGCTAGTAAGTGTAATATATGGTAGTAGGTAAAAGTAAGTAAACGTTACACCTCAAATTGAAACGGAAAGTATTTTTAAGAAGTAGTACAACAAAAAACAATGACATCTATAGAAATGTGTCTCAACACATTGTCTTATGTAATAAACAATGAATATGCCGAATATGCAACAAAGAATACCTTCGCAACATAACAACCCCTGTTTCACTTTTCCTAGTAACGCTACCTAAAAGTGAAAACGTCATAAAATGGGGAATGATAGCAAAAGTATTTCTAAACACAACCACTACTTGCATTGTATAACTATTTGAGTCATAACTTTACAAAGGCAATTGTCTAAACATAAATATAATAGTGCCGCCTGATAAAACAAGTGGACCATAAAGTTAGTGTTGGGAACATTGTTTATAAAACAATTTGGTAGACTGAGATGCAAACAAAAGTTTTCGGTGAAATTCCGCGTCACCCTTTTGGCTTCCTTAAATTGTTATGGCGGTAATAAGACCGGGCGAACATGTGACTTTTATAGCTGGTAGTTCTCTGGAGTTTCGGGACAGCACATTTTGTCACCGAGACAATTACTGAGTACGGTTGTTGAACAGCAGCTGGACAATGATGGCTATTTTTGACATATTGTGCGAAGGACGTATGATGCAATCACTGTTACCAGTGCCTTTGTCTGCACAAACTTTCATTCTTCATTTTACCCCCTAATATTTTTTTTACATTAAATATCTATCCAGCCTGTGTCCATTCTCGTGATACAATCTATCTTTACATCAAATTACAACTGTTTAGTTCTAAAAAGGTATCAGACAAACAGACATACTTTCACACTTACAATATTACTATATACGATATTATATGAAAATATAATTCATATTAATACGTATAGTTAGTAAAAATTACGGGATCTTACCACGTTTTATTTTTCCCGATATTTCGGCAGTATTTCAACCACTATGATCATGGGTAAACAGTATCGTTTATATTACATAAAAAATATGGTTTACTTTGTTGTTATGTCGATTGTCTTTTATTTGGCACATAGAAGCAATACAATGAATTTTAGTAGTGTAATACTTATTTTAAAGTCATGATTACGAGCAAAGCATACGACATATGACATTTAGCATTATCATATTGAAATCGTAAAAACTAAAATTGTTGCCAAATACACTTTTAGATGATAATATTATAGTATTTCTATAGCTTGGTGGCTAGCAATACAATTTAGAATGCTTGTAATATCTTTTTGGTTTGTATTTTATAAAAATCCACTTGACAGTAGTTGTTAGATTACTAAAAAAATATGCTTTATGTTGTTGGTTATATTTTACTCTCATAGCAAAATGTAAATATTTAACTAATAATACAAAAGTATAATAGGTAACTACGATGAATAAATTATTTCGATTTGCATCATGTACAAAATAATTTTAGACTAATTCTGAATACAAATTACAATTACTTAAAATTTAACTCGTTGAAAGGAAAAGTACTCCTTGAGGAGTTTCTTCAAAATTGTCGTTAAGCCACGTTACTTATAATTAATTACTTCTGACGTCTAACAATCCGTTACCATAGATCTCAAGACAATAAAACGCTTTCAGATTATGATATGAAACGTTGAAAGCTAATTCAACTCGTAATAAATCTGAGACTTGTTAATTACCGACGTCCTCGAACGGATGAGTCGTAAAGGGCCCTTCTCTTCTCCTTTGTTTTGGGCGCAAAGCGGCTGTGACTTCAAAAGGATCCTGCTATTGAGTTAGCCATAATAAATAGAACGTCTCCAGACGACAGTGTCGCATTGTAAACAGATTTTACTTCTGAAAACTGAACAACTTTACAACTCGCTTGAATACAAAGTGCTTATAAAAATTCTAGACTTGACCCCTCTACTTCCTTCATTCGCTTATTACATTATAAGAAGCTCAAAGGAAAATATGACAATTTTGGTAAGGCAATTAAAAAGTTACCTGTAGGTCTACCACGAAGTGCAATTCCGAAATTTCGGATCGATATTTCGTGTGATTCGTACCATGAAAAACGTTCATTCCGAAATCGTGCCCGAAAACGGAGAATATCGTTTCGATCGTCCCAAATCGTACCATGAAGTATCCGTTCGTACGTTATTATGACGTTTTGACAGCACGTTTATCGTGATTTAAAGTGCGAAGTAGACGAAACCTAAATAGTTAACTTTTTACTTTCGTAAGTATGGATTTTACGTATATAAGTGCTGTAATATATAAAAAAGTGATTAATTAATAATTCAGTTAATCTGTTACAGTGAATAATGTGATAAAAGTTAAACTAATTAGTGTTTTTAAATATTATTGTGTTGAATATAACCTACAACTTAGCATTACTTTATTTTGATTTAGTTTCATTATGCCAAGATTGGCTGGAATTTTAGAAGCCCTCAATGAAGAAGAAATTGAAAGACGCAGGTTTAAAAGAAAAATGCGTACTAGGTACCTCCAAAGATCCATTCCCGACTTCGAGTTTGTATCTAAATACAGACTCAGTCGGGAAGTCTTCGAGAATCTTTGTCAGTATGTGGTACGATTATTACCCCTGCCTAAAAATAGTTGAGCAATCGATCCAATAACCAAAGTAAGAACTTATGTACATTTTGTAGATGAAAAAATTTAGTATTTACCTATTATTTAGTATTCCCATATCTATTTTTTTTTTCAGATTCTCACTGCATTAAATTTTTATGCCAGTGGTAGCTACCAGGGTGCAGTCGGACAAAATTTAGACACCACTATGGCTCAGCAGTCTGTCTCAAACTGCATCAGGGATGTAACAGATGCCCTAAATACACCCTATATACTAAGGAAATATATAAGATTTCCTCAGTCCAGGGAAGACAGGAACATATTGAAGAGAAAGTAAGTTTATGTATATTAAATATGATTAAGATTTAACTTTATAGAATTTTATGCTCTTTGTCGATTTATAATACATATACTATTAATTTAGTTCAGTCAACTATTTGTAGCTGTAAATTTATAAATGATATTGTTGTTAATTTCAGGAATCATCATAAGTTAATTGATGTTTAAATAATCAGTAGTTTATATTTCTTTTTCAGTTTTGCTACACAGTATGGTATCCCTGGTGTTATAGGATGTATCGACAGCACCCATGTAGCTATAATTCGGCCAACAGTCAATGAAGAGAGATTTTTCAATAGAAAACATTACCACTCTTTAAATGTTCAAGTTGTAAGTACAGTATTTTATGTAAAATTTGCATAGTGTATAAATAATTCTCAAGTTATTCATATTTGTCACTATCTGCAAATATCTTTATAATGTTTGTCCTATTTTTTAGATTGCTGACAGTAATTTAAAAATTATGAATATTGACGCCTCTTATGGTGGTGCCACTCATGATGCATTCATTTGGGAGCATAACGAGATCAAAGATCATTTGGAGAGTCTTCAAGGAGAAACAACTTATTTGCTGGGTAAATAAATCGTAATTGTTAACTTTGTAGTTGTACTACATATAAAATTGGTGAACAAACAAGAATACAATGTTTTGTCATTCCTTTTCATTATTAGGATGTCATAAAAGATGATTATAGATTGTATTTCAGTATTTTTTATGTTAAATATTATTAGCTGATATTATATTGAATAGTGTACGGGTATCTATTCCCCGTACTTATTTGTAAGGTTGCGGGTGCAGGTGGAAACAAGAAAGACAAGTGTAAGTATCCTCTCGAGCAGAGTTCAGTGGTCTGTACTAGCGATGGAAGCGGAATGAATTGTGCCGCGTTCGGCACCTATATTTATACTCCGCCCGCTCGCACCGTGTCACGTACTAGGTAACGATTGTGTTACGCACATAGGTGCGAGCGGGACGGAGAGCGCGAAAGACCACCTCTACTCGCTCCTTTATTTATTAATTTAAACTTTACATACAATGCAATTATATTTAATTCTACCTATTAGGGAATTGAAACTACTACAATTATAAATTTTATTAAGCTAACAATAATCAAATATTTACAATAGTCGCGAACATATCTCCCGCCGCAGCTAAGCTGTATTTAATTCGAGTTCGCGTTGTTCGATTGGCAGGATTACTAATTTCTTCGTAGGCCGCCGAAGTATCCCCTTGTTAGTGCGCACGTCGACCGCCCGTATTTCACCATCCGGTCCCGGATACGTAGCCACCACCACGCCGCGCGGCCAGGAGTTCCGAGGCAGGTTGCCGTCCGCCACCAGCACCAAGTCTTCTAACTTGATGACTCCGTGTGTAGCTCGGGGCTCCCGCCGGTGTTGTAGCTGGGGTATTGTGTGGGCGCGATCTTCGCTTGTATTTTCCGTCTGGTGGGAATCGTCTTCATGAGACCACTCTTCTTCTGGTCGATATAGAAACTGCGGCCCCCGGAACCATCTGTGTGTTGAAGTGAAGTGGTGTGGCACGTCGCGTGTGGCATCATCCGCGACGTTGTCGGCCGTCGGCACCCATCTCCACTCGTTCGTTTTCGTATCTTCCATAATTTCAGCGACTCGGTGAGCGACGAAGGGCTTGAATGCACGCGGCCCGGTGCGTAACCAAGACAGTACGGTACGCGAATCCGACCAGTAGACACGACGGGCAGGTTTCAGATCGTGTTCTTCGACAGCCGTGCGTGACAGGCGGCTCCCTAGTACGGCCGCTTGCAGCTCCAGGCGTGGTATAGTGGTGACCTTGTTCAAAGGGGCCACTCTTCCCTTGGCTGCGATGAGTGACACACGTACCTCGCCGGTCACGCATACGGCCCGCCAGTATACGACACAGGCGTATGCATCTGAGCTCGCGTCGACGAATGTGTGAAGCTCCGTCGTATGTGCCGTCGCCACACCGGGGTAACACCGTGGTATTACCAAGTGGGGTAACTGCTGTGCGTGCGATATCCAGCTCCGCCACGCTGCTGCTTCCCTTTCTTGCAGTTCGGTGTCCCAGCCGATACCCGTGCGCCACGTTTCTTGTAATATCTTCTTGGCTTGTATTGTGACGGGTGTGGCCAGGCCCAATGGGTCGAACAGCGACATAACGGCGCGGAGGGCTTCTCTCTTCGTTGGGGTGCGTTCGCCTCGTATGATGTGTAACGGAAGTTTGTTCCCGTTGAAGTTGAACCCGAGACTGTCTTCCTCAGGCCGCCACACCATTCCCAGTATCTTCTCAGCGTCGAGTTGCACCATGTTCTCTTCATTTCTATGTGAGAACTCTTCTCGTACATGGCGCGAGTTCGATGCCCAGCGCTGAAGATAGTAGTTCGCCCGGCTGTGGATGTAGGCGACCTCGCTTGAGACTCGTACGGCTTGCTCTTCAGTGTCGAAGCTAGCGAGGTAGTCGTCAACATAGTGATTGACGACCACCGCTGCAGCCGCCTCCGGGAACTCTTCTTTATGTAGTTCGGCGTTCTTGTTCTTCACGTATATCGCCGTGCATGGTGACGAAGTGGCCCCGAAGATGACGCTCTTCATCCTATATTCGACAGCTGGACCCTGGCGTCGATCTCCTCTCCATAGAAACCGTTGCATGTCTCGGTCTTCTTCTCGTATTGTGACACGCATGAACATATCCTTGATGTCCGCTGTGACCGCCACACGGCGCTGTCGGAACCTCATGAGGACCCCAGGTAGTGATTGGAGTAGGTCGGGTCCCGACAGCAGCATGTCGTTGAGACTAATGCCCCTTGTCTTGGCGGCGGCGTCGTGCACGATGCGCAGCTTGTCCGGTTTCTGTGGGTTGATGACAGCGAAGTGTGGCAGGTACCATACTCGTTCAGTCTTCACCGGTGGGGCGATTTCTGCATATCCCCTTTCTAACAGCGTGGTAATTTGCTGTTTATATCTGTTCTTCATGTCTTCATTCTTGTCGAGTTTTTTCTCAATTAACTCGAGGCGTCGCATTGCTGAGTCGTAGTTAGCCGGCGGCGTTGCGTTATCGCGTTTCCATAGCAACGCGGTCTCGTAGCCTCCCGCCGGTAACGGGCGAGTTTTTTCTTGCAATATTTTCAGCGCGCGTTGTTCCTCTTCATTGTATGAGCGCTTCGGTGTGACGCCCAGTGATTCGAGAGCGAAGTGTTCTTTCATTAATCGTTCTATGGATTCTTCATTTTCTTGCCCGTCGACTAAGTGACTGATTCTGTGCACTTGCTGTCTCGCTCTCGCCGCTCCCGTGCCGTGCAACACCCAACCCAGGTCGGTGAGTGATGCGACCGGTTGTGTCTTATTGCCTCTTCTGACTTCATGTGCGAGCAGCAAATGCCAGTTGTCTTGACCCAGCAGAACCGTCGGTTGACCTTCTTCATATGTCAGCTGATCTATTATATCGTACAAGTGTGGACAGTCTTCTATTGCGCTGCGTGATACTGTTTGTGGAGATAACAGTAGTTTCTTCATGGTTCGCGCAGACACGGCATGATCTTCCGATCTTCGTCCCCGTATTGTGAAGTGGACAAGCTTCGATTCATCGGCGTTTATGCGTGTCCCGGCCACGGCCTCTATGTAGAAGGGTGCGGGAGGGCCAGTGGCGCCGATTTGCTTCGCTGTTGCTTCTTCGATGATGGTGCACGTTGCGCCGTCGTCCAGGAGTGCGTATGTATCGCACGTTCCTTTGGGACCGATCACTTGTATCGGCACTATCTTGAGGAATGCGATCTTCTTATCTTCTCTCGCAGACGCGACGACTGCGGCTGCTTTATCATCGGAGGGCTCGCTGTCCTTCTTCTCTATGGTGTCGACGTGCAGGAGTGGGTGATGTAGGTGTGTACACCCACCAACGTTGCATCTCTTCGTCTTGCAGTTGTGACGAAATCTTTTTATCCTCAGGCAACGGAAACATAGCCTGTGTTTTTTTGCTATCTCCCATCTTGCTTGTGGCTCGGCGTTCTTCACAGTGATGCAATCGGGTGGTGCGTGTCCCTCCCTGTTGCACGTCGGACACGGCGGTGAAGTCGGTTTCTCCTGCGTGATGTATGTTTTCACGCTTCTCTTCGTTGCTGGCTCCCGCCGGTCTTCATTTACTATTACTTCGGCGGGTGCGAAGTCACCGCACCTGGCTGCGGTGATTTGCAGGAACTTGGAGAGCGTTATTAGGTCCGGTTGATCAGCTGGCTGTTCTGCTACGAAGTCGTAGTATTTGAATCGTAGCGCAGAAGGCATCTTCTCCGTGATGGATCTTGTCACTTCTTCGTTGTACAAATAGTGGTTCTTTTTCAGGGCTTGAATTGTTGCAGTGACATTGGCTATTCTGGACGCGAATAGACAGATGTCCTTGGGGTTGTCTGACAGCCGCGGCAGCGCACGAAGTTTATTCATCTCGGCCATCACGAGTGCTCCTGGACGGCCGAACCTCGTAGCAAGTAATTGTATTACTTCTGCTGCAGACGTATCCCCGACGAAAAGACAGTGTGCAGCCTCTTTGGCCGCACCCTTTAAACACCGACGTAATCTACCCAAGTTTTCTTGCTCGGTCAGCTGCCCCGCAGACTCTTCATAGGCCATCTTCCAGGGCAGCCATTCGCTTGACGCGCCGTTGAAGGGTGGTAGTTCTGTGACTCGCGGCACCGTGGAGGGCTGAATTGCGCGAGCTGCCATAGTCATTGCAGTCGCCAATTCCTTATAGTCGATGCCCCCCTTCAGTGAATCCTCTTCTTTCTTCGTTGGCATCATTGGTGCTATGGAGTCTTCCCTCGGACCGTTGTGGCTTGCATGGTCCCGTCGGAATGCGTCGCTGCACGGCTGCGGCTGCGGCGCTTTCGTTCCCTCTCCGGCGGGTATCGATGAGATATTAATCCCCTGATGCAAGTCGGCGGTCGTCCTCTCTGTGTGCGGCTCCATTGTGAGTGCCAATGTGCTCGTCCGGCGAATCCAGTCCGTAGTCCTCTCTCTTCTTAATGTGGCGGCGTCCTCTTCATTTTCGTCCTCCTCTTCGTCGTCCGTGTCTGCCTCCAATGCTGCGACGCGTGCGGCGGCCAGTTCTACCTCCTTGCGTAGCAATTCTTCTCGGGCTTTAGCCAATTCTTTCTTCTTTTTTGAAGCTGTGGTGCGCGGCGCCCTTGGAATTGTTGTGGTAGTCTCCGCAGAAGTCTCCGCGGAAGTCTCCGTGGTAGCAGTAGGTTCCGAGGACGTGTACGTCGTGGTGGTCGACGTAGTGGCGGCAGCAGGCGACGTAGTGGCGGCGACGGTCGGTGTAGCGGCGACAGGCGACGTGACGGCGGCGGTGTTTTCTTCGTTTGATTGAGCTTCCATGGCTGTTCTTTGGCTTCTTGTTGTTGGCATCTGTGATCTTGATCTCTGTGCAGTCTTGCTTTCTTCTTCCAACAATCCGGCTTCTCGAAGGACCAGATGGTCTTGCTTTCTTCTTCCAACAATCCGGCTTCTCGAAGGACCAGATGGTCTTGCTTTCTTCTTCCAACAATCCGGCTTCTCGAAGGACCAGATGGTCTTGCTTTCTTCTTCCAACAATCCGGCTTCTCGAAGGACCAGATGGTCTTGCTTTCTTCTTCCAACAATCCGGCTTCTCGAAGGACCAGATGTACGGGTATCTATTCCCCGTACTTGTTTGTAAGGTTGCGGGTGCAGGTGGAAACAAGAAAGACAAGTGTAAGTATCCTCTCGAGCAGAGTTCAGTGGTCTGTACTAGCGATGGAAGCGGAATGAATTGTGCCGCGTTCGGCACCTATATTTATACTCCGCCCGCTCGCACCGTGTCACGTACTAGGTAACGATTGTGTTACGCACATAGGTGCGAGCGGGACGGAGAGCGCGAAAGACCACCTCTACTCGCTCCTTTATTTATTAATTTAAACTTTACATACAATGCAATTATATTTAATTCTACCTATTAGGGAATTGAAACTACTACAATTATAAATTTTATTAAGCTAACAATAATCAAATATTTACAATAGTCGCGAACAAATAGTCTATAAGCTATCAAGTGCATTTATCAAATTTCAAGTCTCACAGTTAAGTATGTTTTCTTTTCTTTCAGGTATATAAAGATTAGAAGAGAGCCATACGTTCTATTTATGGTATGGGTTCGAGCTAGTCATTACATCAAGGCTTTAAAGAATCAAATATCCTCACCGTTGCCTCACAGTACATTTATGAAATATTATGTATACAAGGAAAAACTTAGATAGTTTCAAGAAACTTAAAGACTGTACAAGTAGAAACTTATGCAATAAAAATATACTAATTTTACCTAAATGCTGTTAAAATTGATATTAAACAAATGTTATGTAAAAAAGCCTATTATAGGATAGATGAATTCATAGATGACAGCAATATAATAAGTTTATTTGAATAAATGATTTTCTATTCTATTCTATTAGAAGTTAAGGCATTACTTATTTACAAAATTAAAAACTTTTTACAATAAAATATTTTTATTTTATAATCACATATATGTAGGTATATATATATATAGATAAAAGTAAAATCAAAATTGTATATTAAACATTTTTTAAAATAACACTAATTATAAATGATTAAACATTCATTCAGAAAAATGTTGTATAAGTATATGCAAACTAAGTAGTGTAGTTCAAGGCGCATTAAATTAATGACCAGTAAAAAACTGTAGTTTAGTACTTTGTGTCTTTGTAAATACTTATATAATGCTAAGTAACATTTTTATACTCATTATTTAACAAATCAACAAACTAACATAATTCAACAAATCAACAATGATATATCTAAAGCTAACTAACTTTTTTATACTCATTATATAACAAATCAACAATGATATATCTAAAGCTAAGTAACTTTTTTTATACTCATTATTTAACAAATCAACAAACTAACACAAATCAACATTAATCATGTCAAATTAAAAAAAAAAACAAAATTTCATCTATTCAGTCGTCTTAAGTCTATTTGTAGACCATCCAATCGATCCCTTATTAATACATTTAATTCCTGGAGTGATTGGCGAATCAGCCCTGACTCTACCACCCGTCGATCCTCCGCTGCGATTCGCCGCTCCTCCATTTCGAACAAACGCCTGCGTACACTGCGAGGTCCAATGGCGTCTGCTCGACGGCGTCGTCGCTCTGGACGTGTAGTAGCCGTTGAAGTTCTAAAAAAGTTTTTTTTTAAATAATTATTATCATTATTGTTTTCGGTATGCATGATTGGTACTAATACCAGACTTGATGTCTAGGAATATACTAGTGATTAGGACTATAAGCCCCCATTACTAATAATCTTAATATTTACAGAAATATTTTCATATAACAATAATTTATTATGATATAAATTTTTTAATCAATAATAAGGTATAAGTAAGTGTTATTTATTAGTACTGTCTTATCTTTACTTCTTAGTTAACATTGAAAAACTGTGTATATATAAAAAGGTACCGACTCTGTCTCAACTCATATTTCTGCTATGAAGCAGCTGTCCTTGCATAGCTGTATTTCAGTTTGAAAGGTGGGAAAAGGCTATTTAGGTACCTTATATACAGAAATAAAAGGAATGGTAATGCATGAGAAATACTATGGAAGTCACCATGTATTTTGATGACATCCATTATGTTATATATGTCTAGAGATAACAGTTAGCACTATTTTAGTAATGGTTTTACAACATACCTCTGGAAATGCAGGAACATGTGCATCCGACTGAGGTTCTCCAAAGCCCTCTCCCATAATACCCAATATTCTGCACTGTATTGGGTTTAAAGGCTCAGCAGATGATGGCCCTACCCCAGTGGCTGTGGCAGACCTTCGAGCAGCAGTAGCAGCTTTTTTAGTTAGATATTTTTTGTCAGCCCATACCTAAAATTTATAAAGTATCAGTATTGGAACATTTTATTTAATAACAAAATTATTTAACATTTTAAATGCATATCACGTACTAAAATATCAAGAAAAGTGCTTACCTTCTGCCACTGCTTTACAGTTTTAGTGCATCCACCCAATGCATTGAGTTCGTCTGTGAGACGAACCCATAATTGGGTGGATCTTGTTCGCCCTTCTGCATTTCTACAGTGGCCATGAGCTAACTCCTGGTGCTCTGCTAGGAATGTTAGGAGTGTATGCACTTGTTCCACAGTGGGATTACTCATCTAAATGCATAAATACATTTGTTAGCGCTTGTCATAAATAGAAACTAATAAATAAAATCAAAGTTATTAGATGTTCATTTTCATTGATGTTTAACGAACAAATTTAGCAATAAAAAATTATTCAAAAACACTTGTGATGATAATTCTTAAGTTTATATATAAAAAAATAAAAACAAAAATATTTGTAATACGCAGTAACGTTATTTTCAAATATAAATAGAGGTTTGACGTTTTCTTATGACATAAAATACTACTAATTTTAGAAGTTTATAATTAATACATTTAAATATAAAGGACTGTACATTTTATTTTATCCGGAGTATACCACTTTATTTTTTTCCTAATTTAAGAGTGTATAATAAAAGACCTCTCATCTTTCATTCGTTCACGATCATAGTCTATGGTACCCGTCCGAAATATCTTATTCCGAAGAAACTTCATGGTTCCTTTAAACTAGTATTTCGGTCGTCTTTCGTTTCGTTACGCGATAATCGGCAGTAACTTTCGTGGTAGACCTACTGTTCTTAGATAACATACTAACAAGTTTAATTTTCTTCGCTCGTCCGATATTAGGCGCGTCTTAAACTTTCTTGTTTAAAATATTTAAATTCAGTTTATCACTGGATAAAGTATTCAGATTGATCATGTTAACTTCATAAATTATATTCTGTAAAATATGTATTTCGAGACATATTTACATCTTAAAGTATTTTATATCAAATAAAAAAGGTCTCGTCTTTGTATTTTAGATTTTCAAATAATAAATATGTAACGAAAAAAAACATTCGTTAAGAAAAAAAAATGTACCATTATTATAGACTAACAGCTCCTTGAAAATGGAGGAAATTCACTTTGATGGTAAATCAGAATGTTGATTAGTATTCCAAATTGTTGGAAAATTAAAACAACATGTGATTTAAAATTTAAAATCATATGTCGTTTAAAATTTATAAACGCTTATTTACATACACAATTACATATTTTGTTTATTTTACAGAAGTATAGGTTTTTATAGTTCAAATGTTTCAAACAGAAAGGGATGACAGGCCAGTTTGAACAAAACTTTTTAAATGATTGCTATAACAATTTAAATAAATTTAATGTAAAAAATATTTTTAATAATTTCATATTTTGTAAATGTCTTGAACACAGTCAATTTATGTAAAATTAAGTGAAGGCAGCATAGCTGTCAATTCTAAACTTTTTGAAATCTTTTAGAATTCTTGTCTATATCCCTAAAACTTATAACATTGAGTTTGGAAAGAATATGACGGCCATTTTAATACGCATTTGCTTAAATTACTGATGCATAGCGTTCCAGTATATAACACTGTCTATGTGTACATATAACACAGATAGGCGTTACACATTAGGGGCCAATGCAACCATGCATATCGTTCGTACCTCGTTTTTATTTTATAACGAGTTACAAACTATCATTATAGCATCACTGTGTCAGGCCTACATCACATCTACATCCGCCCAATATTCAAACAATTCTTTCCAGTATAGTTTGTTTAACGAGTCTCACTTTGACTAAGTTCTTTGATCAAATATTTTGTAGACTCGATACAACTTTATCGCATTAAGTTTTAACTAGCATTATAAATGAATGTTGAAGGCGTTTTTTGACAATTTAATATGGATGGAGATTATCATAGTTTCGAATCCGTTAATAACAATTACAAAGGTATGGAGATAAGTTTTGTATTGATACAAAAAATGTTTTAAACACCTGTTAAATGTTTCAACTTTATGTGTTTAAGTAGTTAATGTGCTTTTAAGTAGATATCCTTGTCTTGATTGATGAATTGTTGTCTCGCAGTTTGTTGGACGGAAGATAACAGGGCCTAATTTGAAACAGAAAGTGATTTAAATTTGTTTATCTTAATTAAGATTAATGTTACAGTGGCTTTACATTCATTGTGCAGAACAATGAAAATGGTATTCATCCCTTTCGATACAATTAGAAAAATATAACAAATATTGTGAGTTACCTTTTATTTATGGCTAACTTTTACTATTTTCAGAATAGACAAGCTAAATGCAATAGCAATTATTTATTATATAAGATTTGCACAAGTAAACTTATTACCACAAATTATCGAAAAAGAAGCAATAAAATAATATTGTCATAAAAAAAATGCGAATATTAGTTAAATAATTAATACATTAATAATAATTATTTTGTAAAAATACGTGTTTATTATGATACATATAAATAAATACTAAAGTAATACTTTATAGTAACATAAAATTTGAAAGGAAGTCATACAAAACGATTATAAAATTTGATTGGAGTTATTAACCAGATGAGGCTTTAATTATCTTCGATCTATTTCGGATAAGCATTTCTCTTCATATTAACAGGGGCTATAGCCTAATATAATGCTTATTGAGCTCGCTCTGCCTACTGGCTTTAAAACAGTACATTACCTGTTTATTACTCACATCGGCAGTTATTGGCCTGTTGTGTGGAATTAATTGCGCTATATATAGTAATAAACAGCGTTCCACTAGTAATATAAATTATATATATTATTAAAGACTCTATAGACAATACAATTTTAATTGGGTTATAACAAAATTATCATACAAATATGTTATTATAAAGAGATTTCAATGATAAAAAGATAATGTCATAAATAATGTTAACAAACTACGTCAGTATATATATATATATATATATCGGATTCATACATTGTTTAATAGTATGACGTATTTACTATTTAAAGAACCTCCGTGGCCATTAACGTTTTTATCCCACATCGGGTAGGTCTAAAGGCACTGTGAGACAAACATGCAATACTTAATATTTCCACATTTTTTTCATTAGTTATTGGTGTTTCCATCACCGAGAATTAGTTGTAAATTTAATTGACACAATTTTTTTATTATGGCCAAATCGGCACTAATGATTTTTTCTGTATTTAATCGGGTTGGTCCACTAGGCCATTTATGGTTTAGTGGTTACCTATTTAAGAAAGCATTCACTCTCATTATTTTCTAATCCTCTTTTTAAAACTTAGTTATTTGCTTAGAGCCTTATTTGATTCTGTTCTTTAAAAAGAATATTCATTCTAAATTAAACTTTAATTTTTGTTTGCTTTCATCGTTTACTTACTAATAGACTTTGATGTTTTTAATATGGTTTGCTTGCATGTTGATCCAATGCTAACATTATAGTACCTATTCAAATTAGTTTTATATATGGAATACAATCTTCTACTATCAAAGGTTCAATTTACTATCTCAAAACCAAAAGGCTTTGATCTAATTAGACAAGATACAGCATATTGTACAGACAGTTTCTATTTCTACATGCCCATTGAAATGCTGGCGTATACTATTAGGTATTAAACACACAGTGTTACCATTATGTACCACGGCTTATATTTATATAAAATAATTTTATTTCAAGTATCAAAATGAATACTTAATATTTTTCAAATATTTATTTAAATGGGTAGAACTTATGTAATGATATCGCATAGTATAGGCTTACAAAAAATGCAGGCGAGTTGAGAGTCTGCTCTATTTTGAAGTTGTTCGAAACTATAATTAATCGTTATCAGATTATAAACATCGTAATTCTCAAACCTGTTATAAACCTATTTTAGCAATTGAATTTTTGTCCTTTTCTTTAGAGCTTCTTTACTTAAATGGATATGATAAAGAAATGTAAGGTTTATATACTATAAATTTTTATTATTTTATATTTGTAAATTATATTTTAAAAGTTTTAGCTATAACAAAAGCTAAATTAATAAAATAATTTACCAAATCCTTTGGTTCATATAGTATAATAACATCAAGTTAGCTACTTCAGTTGAAGTAGCAAAAAGAACTCAATAGGTTATGTATAATTTAGGAAATAACATAAAAACAATGACAGCAATAAAACAAACTGCTACTTTAAAAATACCAACTGGCAACACCAAAGCGCGGTTTAGTTAAAGACCCTTACCATTTGCATAATCGACGTTTCCACAGGTGTATGGTATCGGCAGCTGATTTAAGTTCCATGCCATGTGACAAGGGACACTGTCAGACGTATAAGGCAATATGCTCTGGTGGCTATTTTTATTTGCTTCGTACGCGACAACTCCATGGGCGTATATGTGTGTCTTTTGGTGCGGTATATGGACAAACTTGTGTTTTGTTCCAAATTTAAAATACTTAAAAATGAAGCAAAGGTACCGATATCAGTATTATATTTTATGTGAAGGTTAATCATCCTTCATATACTTTTTTAGGTCAGCAATATAATGTTATTTTATCGTGTCATCGTCAAATATAACTAAATATTATTCTATAATATAGAGCTATAAACAGTAAATAGTACAGCAGTTATTTATTTTTTATATTTTATAATAATTATTCATAAATTGTATTTATTATCTACTAGTAATAATCAAATAGTAAGCAAAATATGTATTTCGCACGTCATTTTCATTATTTTATAATTACAATTCATCATTTCTATGGAACTATATGTCATAGCTATTTTGTGGCAATATTGTCAATTAGAAACTTAAATAATTGGTCTGTAATTAAATTATAGTAGATATTATTAATGATTTACTAAAGTTATCGGCTCGGGTAATTCTGTCTAACCTATTTTTCTTGCATATATTTTTTATAATAATAACAAATATTGCAGTGATTTGAAATATAATTGAAAAATTATATATTAAACTATCCAAGTTAGATTTGACCTGTTACTTCAAAAAAATAGTATAACAGGTCAAATCTTTAAAGTTTTAAATAAGTAACATAAGGGTGCTATGAAAGTAAGTGAATGATATTGCCTAGGGCCAGCCTCCCACGTCGACTGATCTATGGATGCGATGTTCGCATTCTCCAAACTAGAACTTGGATATAACTGAAATACTAGAAGCAACCATGGTGCAGCTATTTGGTCTGGTGATTTGTTACCACGTTGTTATTCTATTCGCAACTTTAATGTTCAGTATGTAAATTATATTTTCACATTAATCAAGTTTAAAGAATATGTTCAATATCGTCATCCCAATATAAGCAGAGCTTCTATTATGGGTACTAGACAACTGATAATAATAT